TACACACACACACACACACACACACATCAACTGACGGTCAATCACTCAGTATTGTATAAGGCCAATCCAGCCAGGTGAAGATCCATCCCCAAATATAAAAGATTCGGATAAGATCCATGTTCAGGGAAGATCCACCCATCAATATAAATTCTTCGGGCAAGATCCATGCCCAAGGAAGATCCATCCCTCAATATAAAATAAACCGCGCTCACTGTGAGGGGTGCAGACTCCGGAGGGGCTCATTCAGCCCAAGCGCTATAATAGCCAGATTCATGCATAAATAATAAAATATGATGCGGCGTGCAGCCCGGTCCCATAAATATTACTCAAAATATCCAGTCGCTCGGGCTCTCAATGACATGAAAATCAACGTGACATGATGATATGATGTATCAAAGAATGACAACAGGGATTGAGATATGATATGCAAATGATAGATGTGACTGAGTATAAAATTATAAATTTAAACAAGTAATTCAATAGCAATAAGACCTATGTGGGTCCCAAAAATATCGGCATGTAGCCTAAACATGATCTTTAATATGAGTCTCAGCTCAATTCCCTCTAACACGTGGAGGATATGTGAACAACGGCATGATTATTTGACTATGCAACTCCACGGAATCAATTAAGTCACAATTTTTATGGTACATGCTCACACGCCCGTCACCTATCATGTGCGACACCTCCAAACAATTCACATAATACATAATTCAGGGATTCATACCTATACAACCAAGTTTAGAAGTGTTACTTACCTCAAACCGTGTAATTTTTTATTCCAATATGCCCTTGCCTCGCGAATCGGCCTACGAATGTCTCGAATCTAGTCACAATTAATTCGATTCAGTCAATACAAATTATAGGAATTAATTCCATATGAAAATACTAATTTTTCAACAAAATTCAAAATTCAACTTAAAACGTGTCAGTGGGGCCCACGTCTCGGAACCCGACAGAAGTTATAAAATATGAACGCCCATTCAACCACGAGTCCAACCATACCAAATTTACCAAATTCCGACAACAACTCGACCTCCAAATTCTCAAATCGTATCTTCAAATTCCTAGGCCCAAATCCTCGAATTTCACCATAAAGACACATAATCTAGTCGAAATACTCAATGATAATTCAATATTATTGACTAACAATGATCATAAGTGACTTATCTCAAGTTTTCCCATGAATTTCCTCTGAAAAATCGCCTCAACCCGTGTTTGAAATGCCCAAGAATGAGAAAATCTCTGACCCCTCTGTTTTTGTACACTGTCCAGAGGTTCCGCACCTGAGGAATTTTTAACCATTTTTGTGGTCATTTTACCGCTTCTGCGAAGAATTGCCCGCTTCTGCGGTCCAGTCCCTCCTTAGCCCAAGCCGCATCTGCGACCATTTTGTCGCTTTTGCGGTCGCGCGTCTGCGAGCTTTCGTCCGCTTCTGCGGACCTCACATTTTTTCGAGCTCGCACCTGCGTGATAATTTCCACAAGTGCGATTGTATCAATAGGCAGAAATTCTCAGCTTTGTTCTAAGTTCAAATTTGATCCGTTAACCATCTGAAACTCACCTGATGCCCCCGGGACCTCAACTAATTATACCAATAAGTCCCAAAATATCATACGAACTTAGTCGAAGCCTCAAATTACATCAAACAACGCTAAAAACACGAATCATACCCAAATTCAAGTTTAATGAAACTAAGAAATTCCAACTTCTACATTTGATGTTGAAACCTATCAAATCAAGTCCGATTGACCTCAAATTTTGCACACAAGTCATAAATGACATAAAGAGCCTATAAAAAATTTTAGAACTGGATTCCGACCCCGATATCAAAAGTCAACTCCCAGTCAAACTTTCAAACTTTAAATTTCCTATTTTCACCATTTCAAGCATAATTTAACTACGGACGTCCAAATAATTTTTCGGACATACTCCTAAATCCAAAATCACCATACGGAGCTATTGGAATCATCAAAACTCTATCATGGAGTCGTTTACATATAAGTCAATATCTGGTCAATTATTTCCACTTAAGCTTTAAATCTTGGAACTAAGTGTTCCAATTCATTCTGAAACTTCCCCGACAAGTCACATAATTATAATTTCACACAGGATAAGCAGTAAATGGGGGAATAGGGTTGTAATACTCAAAACGAACGGCCGGATCGTTACAGATTTACCGACCAAAGTGATCTAAATATTTGAATTTATTTCGTCATCCCAATTTTTCATATTTGCGATCAAAACGGTCGGAAGTTTCAGGCTGATTCAGTCGAAAGTTCTTTCCAACCATCTATGTTTCAACTATTTGACTTCCGTCGGAAATCGGTCGGAACACTAATTTTCGACCAATCTCTGACAGTTTTGGCGGTCGGAAATTTGACATTTTCTAGTAGTGCTGGGAACAAGAATTATCATTGTCTATGTGTTAACATGTAGAAAGAGAAACCAACAATGTTTGATACTAACATAAGTTATTTTTCACATTTTCATGAAAAATATTTTCCTATATTTGGTTGGCAAGTAAAACGTATTTTCAGGAAACTTATAAATTAAGGATGAATAACACCATTAGCAAAGCGGAGAGTGTTTTAATAAAAGATTTGAGTAGTAAAGGCTTGTAATAATATTTAAGGGTTTGTTTAAGCAGTTAAAAGTTACTCATGGTAAGAAAAATGATTTTGTGAAGAAATTCAAAAAATAGTTTTCTCCCTTTCGATGAACCCGATAGCCAAACACTTGAAAATGATTTCTCATATCTTTCGCCGTATCAAATACACTTGAAATTAGTCAAGAAAGTTACCTTCTTGTCAACATAGTCAGCTTAGAAACTTGAATGGGCTCTTTCATAAGGGTCAGAAGGCAAGAGAGGAGATTTGTCCCTCCAGACTTCATCAAAGTACTGAACGATTATTAGGGACTCACAAACATGCTTTCCCTTGTGAATCAAAACTGGGATTTGCTTATGAACATGGTTCATCTTAAGGAGTAATGGGCTCTTGTTGTTCAGATTTTCCTCCTTGGATGTGTAGTATGTGCGCCCCTGTGGAGGAAAAGATGCGAGAGTCAAGGCTGAGATGGTTGCGGGCATGTTAAAAGGAGAAGCACATATGCCCCAGTTAGGAGGTGTAAGAGGTTGGCCTTTGGGGGTAAGAGGGAGGTGTGAGAGGTTGGCTTTGGGGGTAAGAGGAAGGGTAGAGGTAGGCCAAAGAAGTCTTGGGGAAAGGTGATCAGGCGGGACATGGCGCAGCTTGAGCTAACCGTGGAGATAACCCTTGATAGGAGGGTGTGGAGATTGAGGATTAGGGTTAAAGGTTAGTAGATAGTCAAATGTTTCCCTTTGTTTTCATTAGTTCAATAGTATTAGTGTTAGTATGGTACTCTTTTATCCTTAGTTTGCTATTATCGCATATCTTGTTATGTTATTACTTGTCATTAGTATTGCATTAGTTAGCTATCACTGCATACCTTGTATTGTTGTTACTTACTATCAGTACTTCTTTCATATTTTCTATTGCATTCTTGGATTTAGTTTTCTAAATATATTGTCTTGCTATTACTTGTTATCGGTGCTTCTTCCATCTTCTTTAGCCGATGGTCTATCGGAAACAGTCTTTCTGCCCTTTCAGGGTAGGATGTGTACATCTTATCCGTAGTATGTGACCTTTTCTTTAAGGGCAATTCTCAACCTCATAAGCTCATACCAAAGGGGCTAGACCAGAAATCAAGCAGTACCACTTCATCTGCCAACTTTTAGACGCTCGCGTAAAATTAACTTAAGTTTTAGAAAACTTAAAGAATTTGTATATTCTGTGTAGTTGATGATAACGAAATTGATGACACAAATATGCTGCAATCTTTACAATATATATGTAGGTTTAGGATTGTCGGCGAAGCTCTATCAAATTGTAGAATTTTTCCAGCAGGACTGCATTCCTTCGTAAGGCTGTAACATGTAGCCAATGACATTACGGAGAGCTTTAGAAACTAAAGAGCAACAGATTGAAGTGTCGAAATGAAAAGAGAGGGTGAGAGATTCATCACCAATATTTGATTGGATCTCTAATTACCCCTTAACCAAGGCTCTAAAATTAGCATATACTGCCTATGCCCTTCATCGAAGAAAGAAGACACTGCCTATTATTCTAGCTATATTCTTCCACGACATGCTGAAAGGCAACCAGACAAACCAGTATGATAGATACTCTTCATCTCCACAGATAAGACTGGAAACTCAGAATAATAGTAGTTAGTATTATAACTTCACATTCTATGTCATCGGCATGCTCCTTATGTCAGTGATATATTGATAACAGATAATAAATTGAGACCTTTTTACTTGAAAAGAATTAAACTCCCTTTCGTTAGAGATAAACCCGCCCACTCTTTTCATACCAGAGTGGTTCTCCTCAAGAATCAAGATGATTTAGATTCAATCACAAACAACTGCAAATAAATTGCTAAAATGAACACCTATAATTTTTACCTAGTATAGACTCAACAGAGACGAGGAACATATGAAAGCAGTACGTATAAGAAATTTGGATTACAAAACTATGAATATGGAATTACCTTAACAATTATCTAGTGGTAGTATCATGTCTGTTTAAAAGTAAAACCTCAACTCTAGACAAGAATACAACCCGACCACAATTTTATGGAAAAATTGTTAAGCATCCATAAAAATGAGGAATACATGCTCAACTAAGGCCAAAAAGGGCATGTCGTGCGGCACGAATAGAATTTGTGTGTTCTATCCGCAGACTCCTGTCTCACAAGGAAAATCTCAACCAGAATACGATGTTAGTGCTTTGATTTCCTCTTTTAACTGATAGGACACAGAGAACACCTTTCGGACACTTCATGGCGAAGTGAACAAAATCAAAGACTAACTTATCATCTGCTACCTTCTCCACCATGGTATATACTGCACTAGCAATCCATTCGCAACCACATTACCACAAACTAACATCACATCTCCGAGTGACAAAAAATACAGACCAAGCAAATCAGCACCACTGTCGATGGACTGCAAAATTGTCAAATGTATAATTCACGTAAAAAATGGGACCATAAACAAAGCAACTGAATGACCACCAAGGCTCATAATTTTTGCACCTCGAAACCTGAAAAGACCACTATGCTTCTGCACCTACCATGTGCGAGTGCTTAAGTACTGGAGGGTGGTTTTCCCTGACTAATTGATGTTAGGCGTTTAATAAGACTACCCTTCAATGATTCAGGAATTCGTGAGATAAACATTGATTTGGCATCTGCAATTAATAACCTCCTGCAAGACCAAAACATTCTTGGTGTGAGATGAAAAGAAAATTGCGAATATTAAGGCATGTTTAAGCCTTGTCAGTCTCAACGTCAGCTCTGAATAAAAGTAGTAATGGACTCCATGCTAATTTCCCGTGCAATACAAGTTCAGCAAATACATTCAACAGGTTTTCTATAGTTCAAGAAATGACCAATAGCCAAATGATATCCATTGATCAGTAAACCTCTAGCCCACCATTGTATTCACATTTTTTCTTTGTTTGATTGACCGCAATTCTTACTCAACCAAGTTCATCACGGCCACAATGTACAAGTATCAATAATGCATTACTCGCTGCGACGGGCTACCTCCAAACAACAAAAATTAACAGCAACATCAACAACAAGAAGATAATTACAATAATAAGAAACAATGATTTTTGGGGTGCTCGAATGGTATTTTTCCTTTACATTCTTAATCAAAAGCATTTCGCATTACAAGCTACAAGGATTATAAGAAAATAATACAGTGGCAAGCCGAGAGCAAGGAGCACAACAAAACAAATTAGAGGGCACACTTCTCACACACATCATACACTTCAAATTGGAAAAAAAAATATATAAAAAAAAAAAAAGGAAAAAAGCTGGAAATTGACCCTTGCAGTGGAGACGACATGTAGGAAAGGATCGAGGCAAAATCAAAGAGCACATGATGTAAGCGGCGATGCCACCAGGGGATTCAGGGAATATTTACTCGTTATCAGTTTACAACAGTCAGATCATGGATTCAAAGAGGGAAAACAGAGCATTCTTCACGCAACACACTAAAGCAAGAAAAGCAGAAACAAGGAGCTTGCCGATCACTTACCTTATACAATAACAACGCCTCAGTTTTAAAGTCGGCTATATGAATCCTCACTAACCATCTTTCCTAGAAAGTATAGGACCTAATGTAAATGTATTAACATCGCTAAAACATAGCTAACTATTGGTGTCACTCATATAAATCTTTTTCTTCCGGTGTGCCCTATCTTTCGCTAAGTCTGAATTAAATCTGCATTGATTCCAAGAGATTATAGGTCTTTGGAGACAACTTCCTTCCATGTGAGTTTAGGTCTACCTCATCCCTTTTGACACGTTCATCACTCACCACAGTCCCATACCTATGATGCATTTGGAGGTCAACGCATGACATGACCAAGCCATTTCAAGCGACATTTTCTCATTTTATCCTCAATGTGTGCTACTTGCACATTCTGGCGAATGTGGTCACTTACCTCATCCCAAAAAGAACCCAATTTACCAATCACTGTCCATAAAACCCAAATAGCCAATCGCTGTCAGTAAAAATCAATTAAGTATGCCTTAATCCTAAAATTAATAGAGGTTGACACTATAAGATTCATCTGCAGTAAATCCATTCCATTCAAGCCCATTTCGTTTCAATACCAAATAAGCTTTACCAATCACAAAGGTTCAACATATTGTTAGCGAACAATACTTTCTTTGTCCCAAATTAAATTAAGTATGGCCGGAGAAACTTTAGGCCAAAGGAAAAAAGAACCAAAAAGAATGCCTTCTTTGGTACATTTACCAATATTAGACACATCAGTTTCATTATGAAGCACTATTGAGTAGACCATGAAGCACTACTGGGCTATTTATGAATGCGAAACACTGTTGGGCTAATTTTAAAAACTTCTCAAGCAGGAAAATGCAGGAGGGGAAACAGAAAAGTCTTTGGTATGTTTCACGGAAAAAGATCAGGGAAATTTCACCTTCCTTCTTTTTATTTTAGATTGTCCCTAAACTAGTCCACTTTCTTAAATATAGATATTTCTTCGGTACACTTATCAAGATACTTCTTCTGCACACTTCTCCATGCTTTTCTCATTATTCTATTATAAAGAGATACTTCGGGACCAACTTTAATCCTAACAATGTAACTGATTTTAAAATATAAACAATTGAATTTATATTTCTAGGTCACTAGCAAATAGATTTATCCAAAGTGTGTCTAATAAAATGAAGAATAACAGTGATAAATAAAGCAGAATAACAATGTTCTCAGTGTGTGTTACAAGTAAATAAAGCAAGGTATTTGTAACCTAAGTGGGATGTAGTTGTTCCGAGTTCCTAGCCTACACGTTGTGTATGTGGCTAGTGGGGGGCGAGATCTCCATTAACTATAACCATAATAGCATAACGGACGGGGGCCACGATTTCAGGAGGATCCTGGATGTACCGGAATTAGTCATAGGAAACGTTTAGTCTGTTCCGGATACATACTTGGTGAATTTCTTTCGGTTACTCTTGTCCCGTATTTGAATGGTCAGCCCCTACCATGATTCTTCAGCTCTCTCGGCTATAGCTTCCATGCTCACAGGTGTCAAACCACTCCTACCATATGTCACTACTGTGTTGTGCCACGTGGTAAGACCGATTTTTCCCAATACAAACAATGTCAAAGTTTTTGCAACAATCAATTTTATGATCATTTGGACTATAGTTCTAATTTTCCTTGATAACTGTACCAAAACCAAATAGGAGAACTACAACCACCAAAGAGCGAGTATTAAACTTAACCAAATAACAAAAATGAACCTTCTGCTCTTCTAAACCCAAATAGAATCAACCAGATGGATACAACTTATAAGACCTAAAACCCCAGCTTAACCAGCTTTGATATTGGTAAACCAACCAATTATGTTTTCTTAAACCCCTGCCCATTCCCCCTTTCGTGGAATCCCCAAAGGCATTAATTCTGAACAATCAGTAGAGGAGTTAATTTCACAGTAGGATTTCTATTGGAAAGAGTTAAAAATACAATGGTCTTGGAAGTTCCATCTATATTCTTGGCAGTAATTAACTTTGTCATGTTTAACATGTAAATTCACTTCAAAGTCGCCTTTTAATCTTTCTCCCATTATCACCCTACGCAAGATACTCCACGTCCCAAATTAACCAACGTAGTTTGACCAACACAAAGATGAAAGAAGAAAGTTTGAATGAGATATTGCGCTTCAATTTGGCAGGAATACGCAAAGATAAGAGTTTGGACATGCAAATCCATATAAAGATGTCAAACCGAATTCCAAAATATATGCAACTACGCCTCAAAACCGAACTAACATGTAAGCGCATACACAGAAGCGTTAGATACATTTTTGAAGGTTGTGAAATACAACATTATTTAATGAAAAAAGTGATCATAAAAGAGAGCAGGTCAAACAAATTCGAAATAAGCGAATAAGAAAAAAACTAGGTAATAGCACCCAGCACGTGTTCAAGTTTCCCATAGTATCTAATTTCTCAATTTTAGTATTGAAACAACCAAAGAAGAGGGGAGCAGTTTCGGACTCAAGGACAAACAAGTACTCTTTATTTCTTAAATGTACTAATTCAAACTGCAAAGTTAGAGAAACGTACTTCTTCACATTAAAGTCTGATGCTTCATTGCCTGCTTGTGCCCCCGATTTCTTGGAATGCATAAAAGCATAGACTTCTTCTGACCAACCACACGTTCTTAAAACTAATGAAGCCTCCTTATGAAGCCTGAAACTCATTAGAAAGATAGGGTTAAAAATCAGTTTGAGCAGACAAGATAATACTGTTAAAAGTTTATTTAGCAGGACTAGGAAAGCAGAAAGTACTTCATTATCTCTAACCACCAAACAAGATGACAGCAAAAGGGAGCTTCCCCATTAATTATGTACATAGCTTGACAACAAAACAAATTAGAACTTATCAGCTCGGCTTCATCGAAAAAAATGTCCTACTCAACTTCCTTCCTCAGAACTCTTCTCAGTACATTGTTAATGAGGTCAAGATAAGATATGGCTGATCAGTAACCAACATCATAAACAACTGAGAAGAACAAGAGAATGCACAAATCGCACACCGCTCCACAACCTTGTCTTAGACTCTCTTTTTCTTTTTCTTTTCTCCTCCAAACCAGTGATAAGAGACTTTTTACTGTAATCACTTCCCCACTAAAACTGAAAGCAGAGATGGACCAGAACACAAAATGGTTTTCCATTCAATGGTGAGTAGTGACAAGTACGGATTCGGAAGGGATGAGTGCTTCCAGTTTATTAATTCAAAGGATATCTGGCCTAATTAAGAGACAGAATAATGTAAGGCAAAATGCTTGGCACCCTATGGACCTATGCAATCAAATGTAACACTATAACGATTTCATTTTAGCAGCACATAACCTCAAGTTCTAACAAATGTGGGACAAGTATAATGAGTTCAAAAGTTCAATCCCTAAAGTATAATAATACTAAGGACGAGGACCGCAGGAAATGCAGAGATAGAATAACATACTCCTTTTTTAATTCTTCCACCTTCGCACGAGACTGAGCATCTTGCTCAAGCAGGATGCAGTCATCTGGTAATTTTCTCTTTGAACCTGAGATAGAAGAGGATTCAACATGGCCATTTGACATCTCCTTTTGTACAGAAGTCCGCTCAGCTGCCTTTTCATCATTCTCCCCATTATTTTTATGCACATTTCCCCTCAAGGGATTAGTTGCGACACTCTGGATTTTGCCATTTCCATTTGCCTCTTTGGCGGATGAATCCCTTCCTGCAGTCTTTCCATTACTCAAACCATTATCTTTATGGGGACCGTCTGCTACAGAGCTGGTTGCTACACTCGGAAGTTTCCCATTTCCATTTGTCAAGACATGTGATCTTGTCATCTGGCCATTACCACAACTTTTCCTAATACCGTTCCTGCCTGGCAATGATGTAACCTCTTTCTCTGTAAGAACTGATGCTCTCACGTCACCATTTCTATTGTCAGATTCTCTTTGATGAACAATAATTTTGATATTCCCAGAAGTAGGTATCTTCTTGATGGAAGATCTTTCAAATATGCTCAACTCCCTCACTGGGCTCGTATGCACTTTACTGACCTTAGAAATCATTACATTTTCTTTCTCAGAGGGGTGGCCTAAAAGGTGTTTGCCATTTTCCGGTTTTGCTAAGTCACAGGTCGAGATTTTGGATCTAGCCAAGCCATTGGAATGATTGGACTTTGACCCATTAACTGATAAACATGTCTTGGTGGGTGGTGACCTCTGCTTGGTACGAGAGAAGAAAAGGATGTACACCTTCTCTGACAACACTTCTTGCAAGGTTGAAAGAGAAACAAAAGAATCATTACAGCAGTACCAACGACCCACAGCATCCTGTAAACAGCCAACCAAAATCAAAACACAGACATCAGGCAACACAAAACTATGATTGGCTCCATCATCTTATTATTATCATCTTTGAATATACAGAATAAGGAATAACGAAGAATAAAGAAAACATTGAGACTCTTGTAAGCTTGGCCAGACAGATATTTTTCCACCCACTAATGGAGTTCACGGCATGACAGCTTATGCATGAGAAACTATGAATGTAATTTACCTTCAACAGGAGACATTGAGACTACTGTTTTGAAAAATATGAGGGGAAATTAATAGGAAATGAAGTCATCCATGTAGAAATTCACAACTATGATTCTGGCATACCTTGATATATGCATAATAATGCCCTGAATCCGGGGAAAAGCCTGAGTGGACAATAGTTCCAAAAAGATTGTATTCTGGATGAGGATCCTGCAAAATAAGGAACATAAAGTAACTTGACTATGAGACAGAAGTACCTTATTGATCAACTTATTCACTAGAAGTTGAGTGTTCAATCAGCGAGGATGTGCAACTCCACATCGTTCAACTTTTTAAATGCGAATAGGCACACTACTATTCTGTCAGCAGGAGTTACAGGTACAATTCTTAAGGAGGATAGGTCAAATACTCATATATGCACCATAGACTATTATGCCTAAATTGATGCAAGTCAATATAAAATCCATTGTACCATGAATCAACAACATCTACGCCTTAGTCCTAAATAAGTTAGGGTCGGCTATATGAATCCTCAATGACCATGTTCTCCATTTAAATTCATCTCATGCCATCATTATACAAAATAAAATAACAATGAAAAAGTACTAGAAGTTCCCTATATTTCCTAATAGCATAAGAATCTCTAATAGGGCTAAAAGACTCCTAAAAGGCATACAGCTAAAAGTAAATGTATTAACATGACTAAAATATACTCACAGCTACCTGGTATCGCCTATATAATCATCTCCTTTCTTTCTTCATCAAAATAAATCTATTTCTTCCAGTGTGCCCTATCTTTCGAAAAGTCTACAATGATTCCAAGAGATTGTAGGTCTTTCAAGACAAAAAACAAGAAAAAAGAATGCCAAAAAATAGTGTCTCTCTCCCAAAAACAATACACAAACCAACTCCCTGAGACGCACAACCCCATCCAGTTTACCTTCTCCAATTAAGATTCTAATCCCATCTGTTAATATCATGAAATTGCCTAAATCCAGAATTGGGTACATATAAGACCACAGATTTCCCAACTCGAAGAATGGAAAATATGCATATGTTAGAGCAAGGAAGAACGGAAGCCATTAGCAGAAAAAACCACAGTGTCTTTTTTTGGATTAAAAGTAAATATTAGTAGAATTACTATCCTGTATTAAAACTATGCAGTTTAGCACTTTCTTCTAAGCAGATTTACAGACAGTGTAGAGAAAGTGCGAGCAAGCTATGAAATTTGCACCTGTGATTTTGATTGGAAACCCCAAAAACTACCTGCATAGATTCCAAATCCAAATGAATTATCACATCAGTATTCCCTAGCTCCCAATGTTGGTTATTACATAGTTGGAATTTCTTACTAGTGCCACCCTATCTTGATTTGTCCAAGACGTGGTAGTAACAATTCAAGAATTGGTAAGACACGGCATTAGTCTTAATTGGATAACCCATAAACCAAATGTATACATTCCAAATCCAAGTGAATTATCACAGCAGTATTCCCTTGTTCCCAGTTGGAATTTAATAAAAGGGCCTCCCCGCATTGATTTTCCCAAGCAGTGGTATTAACAATTGAGGAATTAGTAAGACAGGGCAATTGTCTAACAAAGGTGTTTTGATAAACTATTACAGATGGGACAAGATCAAACCCAGCTCATTTTTGTCCCTTCTTCTTCCCTCTTGTTCCTCTCTCCCAGTTACACCAGTATGGAGCAACATCATAGTCTCCCATCCTCCCTCCGGTAGCTCTCACCCATCCTGGCATCTTCACTGACACATTTATAGCTCCCTTATTCAAACTATTAGCATCAGTGCTTCCTCCTCGCATACCCTAAGATCATCATCTCTTACTCTTTCAATACCTTGATGATTTATCATTGGTGGCAGCTCCACCCTCTTGAGTACCCCCCCCCCCTTCTTTTCTCCTACCCCACATCATAATCGTGTTATAACTCTACACTAACCTTTGCAATCAAGAATGTAATTTTTTTCAAGGGCAATCAGAGTTTTGGATCAAACATGACAGATTGTTGATTATACCCTGTATTACTTCGACTTACCAAACCCAAGGGGAGAGGGCAATAATACTATCTTAATATCCTCCTTTATTTTTGTAGTACCATCTTGGTTCATCTTGATAATAGATCACCTTTACCTTATCAAACAAATACTATCTTAATGTCCATCTGGGCCACCAAACAACCCCTCCAGTTGACCTAGATAAGCTTGTGATTGCCTTAAACATTTTTTAATAAATGCCTCGACTGAAGACAAAGCACAGGAGTTAGGGGTTAAGCTGCTGACTATGGGGGCTTGGAGGAGTAGCGGGGATGTGAGCATTATGTGGACCACGACTGCGCATTGCATTAGGGAAGCTGCTAGAGAGGTATTAGGGGTCCCGAAGGGTTACTCTAGTGGTCACAAAAGAGACTAGTGGTGGAATGGAGAGATCCAAAGAAAAGTGAAAAGCAAGAAAGCGGTGTATCTGAAGCTAGTGGAAAGCGTAGACGAGGAGGAGAAGAGGACGAGTAGGGAGTGGTATAAGATGGCTAATAAGGAAGCAAAGTTAGCAACTACGGTGGCTAAGACTGCAGGATTTGGTCGTTTGTATGAAGAACTTAAGGGCAAAGGCGGGGGATAAGAGGCTACTCAGGCTGGCCAAGGTGAGAGAAAGGAAGGCCCGTGACTTGGACCAAGTGAAGTGCACGAAGAAGGTAGAGTTTTGTTGGATGAGGGGCATATCCGCAGAGGTGGCAAACTTACTTCAATGGTCTCTTGAACGAGGAAGGGGACAGGAACATTGTGCTGGGGGTTTTGGAATCCTTCGAGAGTCGTTGCGACTTTGTGTAGAGGTCAAGGGGGCTATGCGTAAGATGAGCAGAGGGAAAGCGACTAGGTCAGATGAAATCCCGGTAGAGTTTTGGAAAAGTGGGGGCAGGACGATCTTTGAGTGGCTCACTAGGTTATTTAATGTCATTTTTAGGACGAAGAAGATGCCCGAAAGAATAGAGGTGGAGTACGATGGTTCCTTTGTACAAGAACAAAGGTGATATCCAAAATTGCAACAACTATTGAGGTATCAAGCTGCTTAGCCATACTATGAAAGTCTGGGAGAGGGTGGTGAAGCTGAGGGTGAGGAGGAGTGTGTCTATTTCCGAGAACCAGTTCGGGTTTATGCCGGGGCATTCGACTACGAAGTCATTCATCGTGTTAAGAGATTGATGGAGCGGTATAGGAAGAGGAAGAGAGACTTGCATATGGTGTTCATCGACTTAAAAAAGGCTTATGATAAAGTCCAGAGGGAGGTCCTATAGAGATGTTTGGGAGGCTAGAGGTGTACCTATGGCATACATTAGGGCGATTAAAGACATGTATGATGGAACTAAGACACGGGTAAGGACAGTAGGACGGGACTCGGATCACTTCCCGATCATGATGGGGTTGCACCAAGGGTCGGCACCCAGCCCTTTTTTGTTTGCCCCGGCAATGGACGTACTGGCGCGCCATATTCAAGGGGAGGTGTCGTGGTGCATGTTATTTGCAGATGACATTGTATTGATTGACGAAGCAGACCCTGGAGTCTAAAAATTTCAAGTTGAGTAGGACTAAAACAAAATAATTAGAGTGTAAGTTCAATGGGGCGACTCGGGGAGTGAAATGAGAGGTGAGGCTGGATTCACAATTCATACCTAAGAGAGAAAGTTTTAAGTACCTTGTGTGATGACTCGCCATGTCATCATGCCACATAAGTGCCATTTGGCATATATTAATGCCATGT